TTTTTGAACCCCAGGTAGCCACACAATAGCGGCTATATTGACCCAAGCATTATTTTAATGCAAACTGAACCCCGGCAAGTAGAATCATACTGTGGATGGACGAAATCCTGCACCACTTGGAAACCATGATAAACCATTGTTTGTTGGTATTTAGGGGAATCATCAGACACCAGGGTTTCTTAGGTGGTGCGTTGCATGGATTTCGCATCCATCCACCTTTTGGCCCAGAAGTCGAAGGATCGATGGCCCGCGCTGGGCTTCCCGGCCAGGAGAGAAGCTGCAGTGCTGCAGCGCGCTGGCGCCTTTCGAGGCGATCGCTGTGGGTTTGGTTTCCATTCAGACAGGAAACGGAGGGGACCAACGAAACCAAGCAAACCAACCAAGCATTTAGGGGAAAACAATCCAACCATTTAAGAGGAAAACAACGCCACCCAGCCAATTGAAAAAAAACACAGGAAATAGTTGCCATTTGGAACAACTGAGGCGAAGGGGAATGAGTGCCATGTGTGCCATGTGTGCGTTGTGCCATGTTGTGCCATGTGTGCCATGTGTGCCATGTGTGCCATGAGGGTCCCAAGGTGTCCAAAGGGAAGCCGCTCGTTGTTAAATGTTCTTGTTTTGAGGATGTTGACGTGGTGTAAAGGAAAGCCAGCCGGAGAAAAAAACAAAACAAAAAAAGTCGCCGCTTTGGGTGTCCCCTAAAAAGACACCGCCCAAATGTAGGATGCACCAGTTTAGGCAAAAGCTTCCTGCGCACCGAGCCCAGAACCCACGGATTGGGTGATTTTTTGCAGGTCTCTGGGTCACCCAGCTGAAGAACTGGCTCGTGCCTGGCTGCAGCGAATGGGACCCTGCTTCAGGGCCGTGGGAAATGGAATCCACTGTGATATGGCCATGGTGCAAAACCGCTTTGGGATCCAACATTTTGGGATTGGCGAATTCACCACCCAGTTTAGAACCTATAGTGGGGATTGGGATGTTCACTGGGGGTACGGGGTTTTGACCCATGGCCATATAACAAAGATATCACAACAAGGGCTTCCCAACGACTAACCCCCCATGTAAAGGGGCCCCACATACAGGGCAGGATTCCCTGGTATCTCAGAAGTGGGGATAAGGCCCTTGATCCCACAACCCTGCTCTGCTTAGTTTGGGACGAATCGTGGCTAGCTTTGCCCTGGTAACCCACCAAAGGCAGGGTTGCAAGTCTACCAGGGTCATTGACCATTTAGTTGAGTTTAAGACCATCTACAGTAAGTGCTGGACGCCTGCTACATGGGGACTAGGTCAACCTTTTCGAGTGTGTTTCGTTTCACAGTTCCCATGTTCCGAGTGTTGCCCGCATGCTCGGCCTGGCTTCTCATCCTCATCCATCAAATCATGGAAAGGTCGCGCCACCTGCGGAGAAAGCTCACAGTTGCAGAGCATGTCCACGTACACCAGATATAGGAACGTCGACCAGCAATATGGTTGGCCAAGCACCCACCAGTAGCATATGCTGGAGCTGGCGTCTTTTGCATGAGTTGGTACCTTATTCAGCTTGACAAGGCAAAAGACCGAAAGCAACACCGACTTGAGGGTGCGATAGTTGGGGAGTGTCCTTCTTATTCTTGGGAATGAACCGTTTGAGGATTCCCTTTAAGGAAACCAAGTCGAAAATGGATGGCTGTGGTCGGGCTCATTCCAACTTCCAACTCATTCCCTGTGGAGCACCCATAGAGGTTCCCTTAAAGGATTCCACAATCAAAAATGTTTTTTTTTTTTCTCGGGGTCATTCCATTTTTCTCATTCCGATCTCTCGCACCGATCGGAAGCTCAGGTCCCTGCGCTCAGAACAGCTTCATGATGCTCCCCAAGGTGCCAGTACACCTACGGAGAGAAAGCTGGTGGTTCTCTTTGTCGTTGAACAGTTTATACGCATGGTCCAAAAAAATATGGGGCCTGCTGGGAAGATTGATCAACCAGGCTGCCTTGAGGCTGGGACCAAAGAGCCCAGCCACGGGTCGTGCGCGCGCTGGGCGATGGGCAGCAGATCCGCCCTCAGAACCTTGAAGGTGGTTGCCCGGCGGGGGATCGGGGGGCAAGCACATCATCTCAATGGTGTGCAAGAGGAAGGCTCGTTGAGATGCTCAAATACTTGCTGGTGCGATATGGAGGGTATTGGGAATGAAACCAAATTGGAAATGGATGGTTTTTGTTGGGGTCAGTCCAACTCATTCCCTGCTGAGAACCAGCAAGATTAGCAGGGTGTCCTGGAAGAAAACCATCTTCCAGTTAAAGGGACCGGGTCCCTCAGGTTCCACGTTCAGTGCTGGGTTAACCAACTAGAAAGCCGAAAGAAACAACTGGGAGCCGCTGAGCCAACTGGTCCCTAGCTGGAGCTCCTAGGATCCTCACATCACCAGATCTGCCCTCGCACCCACACTGAGACATGCGCTCGGCGCAACTCAGACGTGACCTCTTCCGCGGCGTCACTGCGGTCAGCGCGGATATGCTGTGCAATAAGCCTGAGCTTGGCTGGCCATTTAGTCACTCAACCTGACAGAATGCCTCTCGTGTGTGTGCTCTGACACGGAACATGGCGCTGGCAATAGGGCAGCAGCACAGCGAGTGGCCAGTCATCCATGTAACGCACGCACACCTCAGCACGAAATACACGTTCAAAAGAAATCGAGTCACAATCAAAACCTAGCATTCACATGGTCTGCCCAGAACCATGTAAAGAATCAAAAAGGCGGCTGCACCCTTACCTTCATCAACCCAGGTTTTGAGCACGTGGCTCGCTTCATGTCGGCAATCACTCACGACTGCATCTGCAGCGCTCCTGTTTTCAATGACCTGGCGCAGATCATTGCCTGTCAACTTCCCCTGCCGTCCTTCTGCCACGTGTCTCCTCGTTCAGTCTTGCGACACCCAGGTCAGGCCCAGAGCAGCAACCACATCCGATCGAGCCGGAGCGCCCATGGAATACTGGAAACGAGGCTCGCCAGCTGTGTTTCCGGCACGGATTCGCTTCTCACAAGGCTTTCACGACCCATCCTTGAGCAGCTTTATGGTGACTGTCAACGAAGCATCGCTCTTGCCGCTCTCCTCTAGCTTCAACTGTCCGCTGAAGCCGTGTGATATCTCTGCCATTGGCAACGCCACCTTGCCCAGCAAATCCTTGCCCACCTTATCCTTGTCGAACACCGTGAAGGACAGAGATTCTTTTGGTGCCATCAGCATCTCTTCCGTCACATTCCAGACCGGGTTGTTGTCCCTGATCACGTGCGTCTGGAATGACTTCTTCGTGCCCGGGATCTCCACCACGCAAAAGGCATCGGAGCCTCCCTTGCCAAAGCTCCAGTCTCCATCTCTCAGTCCTTTGGCAGAATGAACTGTCACGGCCACCTTACAGGCGGAAGCATGAAAAACAGAACACTTAGACCGAGCCAAAAAAGAACCTTTCACTTACTCGCCCGGCCCATTCGCCCACCCCACACATCTGACGCCAGGCCTTTACAGACCTTGGCAGCTTGACCTTCGCCTTCTCGCTGCCCGACGCTTCAGCCTTCGCCTTTGCCGCGACTTTCGGCGCGGCCTTTGGCGCAGACGCGGCCTTCATGTCACTGCGGAACAGAGCTTTCAGCACCTTCACAGCCACCAGCAGCTCGGCGTTGATGCCCTTGCCGGCGCTTTCGAGCTTCAACGGGCCCGAGAAGCCATCTGGCAGCACCTCCTTCAAAGTGAGTGTGGCCTTCCCAAGATTGTCATGCTTCCGGCCCTGGTCCTCATCAAGTAGTGTAAACAGCACGGTGTCCTTTGGCAGCACCGTCAATTTCTGCGTCATGTTCCACTCCGGATTACTGGTATCCTGCACAACGGCTGTCTTGAAGCCCTTGTCCGTGCCCAGCACACTCACCACCACGTAAGGATCTGAACCTCCACCACCCTTAACAGTCCAATCCGCATTCCTCAAGCCCTTGGCAGATATGACGGTCAGCTCAATCTCAAGCGCTTTGGGAGGTGTCGGTGGCGGAGGTCTCTTCACCACATTCGGTGGGGACGTGGCAGCTGCTACCTCCGTGCCATACAAAGGTTTCAACACTTGGATGCTGACGTGCAGATATGCTTCGATGTTTTTGCCTGCTTCCTGAAGTTTCAGAGGTCCTTCAAATCCATTCACCAGCTTTGACATCGGCATAGACACCTTGCCCAATAGGTCCACCTTGTCGCCCTGGTCACGGTCAAGCACAGTCAAAACCAAGGTCTCCTTTGCCAGAAGGTTCAGTCTCTCTGTCTTGTTCCACACCGGGTTGCTGCTGTCCTCAAACACCTCTGTCTGGAAGCCTTTTCCAGTGTCCGGAACCTCCACCTTGCAAAATGCATCTGATCCACCTACACCGCTGAGGCTCCAGTCAGCGTTCCTCAGTCCCTTGGCGGAGAAAACTGTAACCTGCATTGCATACGCAGGGGCCCCGTCACTCTCTTGTTTCGGCTGCGCCTTCATGTCACTGCGGAACAGAGTTCTCAGCACCTTCACAGCCACCAGCAGCTCGGCGTTGATGCCCTTGCCGGCGCTTTCGAGCTTCAACGGGCCCGAGAAGCCATCTGGCAGCACCTCCTTCAAAGTTAGTGTGGCCTTTCCAAGATTGTCATGCTTGCGGCCCTTGTCCTCATCAAGTAGTGTAAACAGCACGGTGTCCTTTGGCAGCACCGTCAAGTTCTGCCTCATGTTCCACTCCGGATTACTGGTATCCTGCACAACGGCTGTCTTGAAGCCCTTGTCCGTGCCCAGCACACTCACCACCACGTAAGGATCTGAACCTCCACCACCCTTAACAGTCCAATCCGCATTCCTCAAGCCCTTGGCAGATATGACGGTCAGCTCAATCTCAAGCGCTTTGGGAGGTGTCGGTGGCGGAGGTCTCTTCACCACATTCGGTGGGGACGTGGCAGCTGCTACCTCCGTGCCATACAAAGGTTTCAACACTATGATGCTGACGTGCAGATATGCTTCGATGTTTTTGCCTGCTTCCTGAAGTTTCAGAGGTCCTTCAAATCCATTCACCAGCTTTGACATCGGCATAGACACCTTGCCCAATAAGTCCACCTTGTCGCCCTGGTCACGGTCAAGCACAGTCAAAACCAAGGTCTCCTTTGCCAGAAGGTTCAGTCTCTCTGTCTTGTTCCACACCGGGTTGCTGCTGTCCTCAAACACCTCTGTCTGGAAGCCTTTTCCAGTGTCCGGAACCTCCACCTTGCAAAATGCATCTGATCCACCTACACCGCTGAGGCTCCAGTCAGCGTTCCTCAGTCCCTTGGCGGAGAAAACTGTAACCTGCATTGCATACGCAGGGGCCCCGTCACTCTCTTGTTTCGGCTGCGCCTTCATGTCACTGCGGAACAGAGTTCTCAGCACCTTCACAGCCACCAGCAGCTCGGCGTTGATGCCCTTGCCGGCGCTTTCGAGCTTCAACGGGCCCGAGAAGCCATCTGGCAGCACCTCCTTCAAAGTTAGTGTGGCCTTTCCAAGATTGTCATGCTTGCGGCCCTTGTCCTCATCAAGTAGTGTAAACAGCACGCTGTCCTTTGGCAGCACCGTCAATTTCTGCGTCATGTTCCACTCCGGATTACTGGTATCCTGCACAACGGCTGTCTTGAAGCCCTTGTCCGTGCCCAGCACACTCACCACCACGTAAGGATCTGAACCTCCACCACCCTTAACAGTCCAATCCGCATTCCTCAAGCCCTTGGCAGATATGACGGTCAGCTCAATCTCAAGCGCTTTCGGAGGCAGCGGCGGAGGGGGCTTCTTCCCCTGTTTCTTTGTCAGCTCTTTTGGGTCATAGATTGACCTCTGGTTCAAAGCCCTACCCCCCTACCCCCCAGATTCCCTTCTAAATTGGACGAAACAAAAGCAAGAAATTGACCAAAAAAGGGGCCCTGAACATTGTTTAGGGGGCCCTGAAAAGCGTTTTGACCCACCTGAGTACGAACACCGCCACCGCCAAATATGCATCCTTCCTGGCTTCCTCTAGCTGCAGGGACTCCTCGAACTTTCCCTCCGCAGTGAATTTGCAGACCGGCAACGACACCTGCGTGTCTCTTTTTGGGGAAGGACGGACCCTTTAACCCGAGGTTAACATGAAGGCTCCCAGAACCCCTTTGGAAGACTTGGTTCCATTTTTACAGTGGCCCATTGAGGGAGCTTCCATGTTCATCTGAGGGAGTGCAGCTTCCCCTTTGCAACAACCACAAAAACTAACACAAAACTCCGGAAGAAAAAGAAGAAGAAGAAGAAAAAAGAGCATCCACAATCCCACCTTGCCCAATAAGTCGTCACTGTCCAACTTGTCACGGTCCCATACCACAAACTGCAATGTCTCCTGCGGAGTGACCATGAGCTTGTTGGACACGTTCCACACGGGGCTGCTGCTATCTTCCACCACCTCCGTGCGGAAGCCCTTGTCGCTGCCAGGCACCTCCAGAATGCAATATGGATCGGAGTCGCCATGGGAGAAGTCGGCGTTTCTCAGCCCGGTCCTTAGAATGCAAAACCAAATACATGGGTATGGGTCAAAATTAAACCACCAGGGGACCACAGGTTTTAGTCATTGTTTCCATTTGCCAGGGTGCCATTTTGGGTACCTATTTTTGACTCACAGCCACGTGGTCATCGCGTCAGTGTCTCTGCCCATGGAGGCAATCATGTAGAGAATTATGCTCAAGGCTGCATGAATCCCTCAGCACTCCCAATATGTTACAGAGTTGTCAGTCAGGGGTATGGCTTGAATTTGCGAGTCATGGATATGTTGTGAGTCATGAGTTGTGCGAGACATTGAATCATGTTGATCGACCTCAATGTGTTTGTACGTGACACACATTTCTGCAGCTGCAAAATTCCCACTTGAAGATGTGCCAGGCTTCGCTGACTTGATGGTGACGTGGATCTCGTAAGCCAGAGGCTTTGGCGTCTTGGGTGGCGGTGGCTTCTTTGGAACCTTTGCAACCTAAGCAGAGGCAGCAAATGGCCCGCTTTCTGTGTTTGTGCCGCGCTCGTGCCCAGCAAATAAAGAGATGTTCGAGCTTTCACTAATGGACAAAAATATCAGAAAATGTTTGAGCATCCGCAGGAAACACCATCCTACAGGCTCTATCATGCAGCTCCGCCTTCACTTCTTCCTTCATTTCTTCCTTCTTTTCCTCCTTCTTTTCCTTCTTTTCCTCCTTCTTTTCCTCCTTCGTTTCCTTCTTTTCCTCCGTCTCCTCTTTTCCCTTCACTACCTCTTCCTTCACTGGCTTGGCTTCCGGTTTTTCCAGCACCGGCTCCTAAAAACGCGCATGATGCACGGCTCGCCGTTGAACGAAAGATCTCTCGAGAATTGCCTCGTTTTGGTTTAATGTAAAAATAGGGACCCTCAATGGGTGGGCTGCTTGTGACTTTCTAGTCATAGTAATCCGTTGCTTTTCGGAAACCCTGTCGTGAAAACCACAAAAAAAAAAGAAGAAACAAATCAA